TTTTATGCATCGTATCAGGAAACTCCCCATTTTTAGGTTGAAGCAAATAAGTCAGGCATGATGCCAAAAGAATGGCCCTTTGTTCATTGATGTTCACCATTGTTCCAGGACCAGAAGCAGACATAATTACTGACACTTATGATCAACGAAGGAATATGCCAATAGAGAGGTGCCAGCTCAAATGATGCTCTGATGATGATACCTGTTGGACACCAATTAGGGATTTCTTTCTGTGTAAACTCTCATGATGTCATTTGGGGTATAAAATCTACTGCCCTTCCTGGTTGTGGCAGAATACAGTTTAGTGTTACTGGGTGCCAAGGTATCCTGTGTTTTCCTGATTATTGCAATAAACAGGTATTTACTCCAACTGTGTGTTTCTCATTCGGCCCCAGGAGCATACAGGTCACAGATTTGTGCATCAGGCTTACTCCAGTACTCACGGCTAGCTGCATGGTCAATATGGCTGCCTCAGGAGTTAAGAGTTTCAGAAGAACAGCATCCCAGAGGAAAAAAAAAGAGCAACTTCCTCTTGCAAGGAAATTTTCTTCACTCAGTGTCTCCACCCACTTGCCCATGTCACGCCAGGTCAAAGAAGCCAGGTCAAAGTTTCCTCCAGCTCATTCCTGGAGATTTTCTCCAGGGCTGTTCTGGCCAACCCCCCACCCCAAAACTCTGCTTCTTGCATGGGGAAGGGGGGAGAAGGTGGAAGGATTGACTGTACCATTGTTATTCCTGCTAGATTCATTAGCATTTCTAAAGAGATAACTGAGGTGTTTCTGGAATGCCATGGCTTAATTCCCTCCTTCCTAGCCTGTAGAAACAAAACTTGAAAAATGTCAAGTGGAGGCTTGCTGGATGCCTGCACCCCTCTGGGAGAAAATGCATTTCTCTGCAGGGATCCTTGTTGCGGACAAAGGTGGGGTATAAATGAACTAAATAAATAATACTTCAAGCTGACGTTTGGGGTGGGGGTAGATAAAAGATTAGCTGGTGAGTGGAAAGGAATGGAGGAAGCAGGAACAGAGGACAGGATACGGGGGACTGCCAGGATAAGGATAAGAAGTATAAAACGGGGAAGGGTATACACGTGAGAATAAAGTGATTCTCACAAATCCTTCCAGGTTCCTCACTTGTTTAATATATCTACAAGTATGAATATTTTGACCATGTCTTGGATGATCCAACCATCAGTAATCTCCATGGGCAGAAGGATTTTCATTTATAGAGCACAAATTCCTTCCCCCTCCTATTGGAGCCCACAATGCTACTCCTGGGGGATGTGGGGAACTCAAAATCTTCACCAGGAGAGAATTTTGATAAAAATCATCCCCTCGGAGCTTCCGGTTTATGGTGACACGCAGGCAGACACATCTCCCGGACGTCCCGGGGATGTAAGTTGCACACCAGCGTGTGGGAGGGGGTCCGACGGGTCGCAACCCCCCCGGAGCCTTGGTAAAAGGCTCCCAGCCAGGGGGCTTTTGAGGGGCGACCTCTTCGATGGCCGAAAGCCGGAGAATTGAGGCACCCCTCTGCCCTGAAGGTCCTGCCGCTGAGTGACCACATGGTATGAGTGCTTCTGACCGGGACAAGCGTTGGAGATCGGGCGAAATAAATGATGATGAGCAAGGCCAAATGGCCAACAGCGAACTGTGAGTCGGGTTGAAGCGAGCATGAAGATATAAAAAGAAGCTGCCCCTCCTAAAGAGCGACGGGAAAGCGCATAGACAAAATAGAAGAAAAGAGGGGGGAGCGGAAATATAAGCGACTAAAACTGTTTTAAGAGACTTACCAGAGCGCAAAAAAGTGTTTGGCCGAATATCAGAGACTTTAGCAACTTTTTTGAAAAGTAAACAAATCCAAAAAGATGGCAGGGAAGAAACCGAAGAAAGAGAAGCTGCTGAAATCGAAACTAGGGGCCAGTCCTCGAACGGATGAGGTCACTGAGCTCTCAAAACTCTTGGCTGACTCCCTGCGCCCCCTGCTGGATGAGATCACTAGCATTAAACAACAACTGTCAGTAATTGGGAAGAGTGTGGCAGCGCAGCAGATGCAACCGACGCAATCCTTAAAAGCAACAGAGCAAATGGGAGAGAAGGTGAAGGAAATGGACGTCACTACTAAAAAAGTTAAGAAAAAGGCGCAAAAGCTGGAAATGAAGCAAGCTACAGAAGAGTCAAAGCTTTTACAGCTACAAATGAATAAAGCAAATTTGGTCCTACGGTTTCAAGGGGTCCCGGAAATTGAAGGAGACAATCTGAAGCAACAGCTGAGTGAAGCAATAGCCCTAATGACAGATTTAACAGCGGAATACCTTTGCAGCAAAATGCAAACCAACTCTTCTTCACTTCTGTTTGTGAAGTCCACTGTTGGGTCCAAGCTATTGCACTTAGTTTTCCCCACAATCTATACATACATCATATCGTAAAGAAAGCTGGATTCAATTTAGATGAAGGTGGTGAAAATTGGTGGAAGGAACATTAACAATTTGAGATATACAGATGACACGACATTACTGGCCAAAAACAGTGAAGACTTGAAATGACTACTGATGAAGGTTAAAGCAGAAAGTGCTAAATCAAGATTACAGCTGAACATCAAGAAGAAAAAAGTAAGAAAAAAAACCTACTGGGGAATCACACCAGTTAAAGACTGACAGTGAAGAAATTGAAATCATTACTTTCCCCCTATTCATCAATCAAAAGGGAGACTGCAACCAAGAAATCAGAAGGAGACTGAGACTGGGAAGGGCAGCCATGAAGGAGCTAGAAAAGATTTTTAAGTGTAAGGATGTGTTGCTGGTGACCAAGATCACATGACTGATTCTTGCTATAGTATTTCCTATTATATGTATGGGTGTGAAAGTTGGACAATGAAGAAAGCCAACAGGAAGAAAGTTAATTCATTTGAAATGTGCTACTGGAGGAGAGTTTTATGGATACCATGGACTGCCAAAAAGACAAATAAGTGGGTTCGAGACCAAATCAAGCCTGTACTTTTCCTAGAAGCTAAAATTACTAAAATGAGGCTACTGTGCTTTGGTCACACTATGAGAAGGCAAGAGTCCCTGGAAAAGACAATAACGCTAGGAGAAGATGAAGGCAGCAAGAAAAGACTTGGTCAAGACTTCGGTCATATAGACCTGTAATAAATTGAAATGGAAAAGAGGAAGACCCACAGTGAGATGGATTGACTCAATCAAAGAAGTCACTGTCTTCACTCTACAAGAGCTGAGCAAGGCTGTTAACAAAAGCATGTTCTGGAGGACATTTTATTTATTTATTATTAAATTGAATCCAGCTTTCTTTTATTTTATTATTTTTATGATTTATACCCTGCCGCAATTTAATTCTTAAACACTTAAAACACACAAAAATTCACAGGTTTTCTTGTTATACTTTCAAGAATGTGATCCCCCCCCCTTGATTACTGTCTAGTTACAGGTTTCTATTTGCCTCTCTGATTAAAAAAGGACTAAAGATGATTTAAACGTATACCAATCAATTTACAAAATACCAGTAAGATAATACAAAAGCATTAAAAACCAAAAAAGACAGAAAAAATAACATTTTTATTTACTTCATTTATACCTTGCCCTTCTACCTAAAGGGTACCCAAAGCAGTTTACACTGTTCTCCTCCATTTTGGCTTCACAACAATTTTGTGAATTAGGTTAGGCTGACAGTGTGTGGCCCAACGTCACCCAGCATGTGACCTTCCATGGCAGAGCAGGGATCCAAAACTGGGTCTTCAAGATCCTAGTCTGAAACTCTAACCTTGGCATTATAGAGGCTTCTAGTGATAAAACCAGCTGTGCACATCAGAAAGATTAGTGAGGCAGGCATATTAGAGTCATCGCTACTACCAAACACATTCCAGATTGAAATATTTTTAACAGATCTCCACAAGGCCAAAACCAAAGACATCCTACCATAACTCTCCCAGAACCTTGTTTTGTGCTGTTTAACCAGTACATGATGCTCTCACAAGTGAATACACCCACTGCAACTGATAGCCCAGAAACAGTGAATGGCAGCACACCAGTTTGGTAAACCCAGAATAACAGGTCTGGCCTTGTGCATTAAATATCCACACTTTCCCCCCCAAATAGAGCCTGAAAAGGCCCCTTCCCAATAAATTACACCCCTGCCCTACACTGGCCCCGGCCACACAGGCCTGATATCGCGGGGGGAGGTGTGGTTAATTGCCCCGGCGCAGTTTGATCCGAGATGATGCGATCAGACGCACCGGTGGCACACCATGGGTCCTTCCCCCGGCGCCGGCAGCCCGTGGCAAACGTTTACTAGTACCTTGGAGGTACTAGTTTATTAACCCAAATTGTCGGTGGTAAGCCAGGGGTGCGCTCCACTTCCCAGATGTTGGAGTGTGATCGCGCCCGGATAATCTGCCCGCCATCCGTGCCTCTCCAGCGGCAACTTTACCGTGTGACCAGGGCCACTATTCACCACATTAGCTGCTATTCTGTAAATGACATGGATTGATCCTGAAGACTTCCCTTCTACTTCAATGGGGTTCCCATACCCCACAATACTATTGCTAAAACCATCCATGACAGTATTCTTAAGGTGTTTACAGGTATGCGAAACTGGCAGGAAACGATCTTCACCATCACTGCCATGCTACAAAGAACGTCAGCTGCTGATATCTCATCAACATTGTGCTACAACAGTACACTCTTACACTAGGCTCAAATCCACACTCGGCCATGACGTCTCTCCAGGATCTTAAGACAATCACACTGCCTCGCCCTACTCAACACAAGGCTGTTGTGATTATAAGGAGTGGAAGTGTGAGAAGCATCCCGAGGTCCTTAAAAATAAAAACGCATAAAGTAAATAAAACTAAGCCCAGAAACTGGCACAGGCACTGTCCTCACATTCTACGGGTACCGGGAACCTCCGCCCCGGCCTTCTCCCGCGCCGCCACTCCCACCCACACCTCTGCATCTTGGGAGGCAAGAGAACCAGACAGAAACTCACCTCATTGTTGAGGTTCAGGACCTGCGCCATCACCTCTGCTGCCCGGATCCCTCACAAGGAGATCTCGAACCGGCGCTTCTTCCCACGCTTCTCCAAAAGCCAGGCAACCGAAAGCGCGCGCGTGCGTCGTTCACCCCAGCGTCGGTCCTCTTCCCCTCCCACGTGACGCTCAACCGTACTCTCTATGGTACACTTCCGCATAGAGAATGGAGAAAATAGCTTCGTTAGTACTCCCCGATCCCCGCCCGGTACAAAATAATACTCAAGCTTTGGACTTCACCCGAACTCCTCTTGGATAAAACGTAGTTGGACAGAATTGAATCCCAACGTTCTAGTTCGTAACAAACGCACTCTTAGTCTACTCAGATCCCACTGAGTTTAATAGGATTTACTTCCAGGTAATTATGCATGGGATCGTATGCATGTTTATTTAAAAGAAGAGTCCATCGATTTTAATAGTTCTAAATCAGTTTGCACAGCATTGCATCCTTAATGCTGTTCGTTTTGTCTCTGGTACTGATTTTAGATCACAACAAACTACAGGCAAAGCCGTAGTCGTTGTCCCTTTAAAAATACAAATAGTAGCCGTTCCTCGCTTCCATCTATGGCTCTCAAGGTACGAAACACTCTAGGCTGTTTCTGCTTTTTTACTGTCCTCCGGAACACCCTATTGGGGATTCAGTTCGTCAGTCATTTACGTCTCACCTCCGACAGGGACACGGTACTCCTTGAAATAACGACAGTTCCGGTTCCCAATGAATTCTGTAAGGGTAATTCACAGAAATAAATAGGAGGTTTCGGGTGGGTTTCCGTGTTAGCTTATAGCAGCTGAACAAAATTCGAATCTACTGAAACCGTAAAAGACCAACAAAATTTTCCAAAGTATAAGCTTCGGTGAGTCAAAACTCAGCTCACTTAGTCAGAAATCTGAAAAATATTTCCAAATGTTACTCATGTTACTCTGTTGCCATAAAAAAAAGCAAGAGTCGTGTAGCAACTTGAAGATTAACAAGATTTATTGAAGTATAAGCCTGCTTGTGACAGGTTCATCAGGGGAAGTGAACGCTAGTTCATGAAAGCTTCTGCCGTCATAAGTCACTTTTATGAGTCTGCCACATGACTCGTTGTATAACAGGGCAAAAAGCGCTAGGGGTCTAGTTCGACTCCCGCTTTCTTAACATAGGCTTCTGTCCCGCAAATGGCAGTAGGTTAGCCGCCTAACACAAACCCAAAATGGTATGCGTGAGATAACTTTCGACTCCTTTATCTCTATGCGCCTCCTCGGCCAAATGACGTTCCTGCTTTTGCCATTGTTCTCCTTCCGCCTGCCCTGTCTCCACCTCTTATTTTTAATTGGACCAGTTATCTGCTTGTCATACTACCAATCTCGTCACTGTCGACATATAAATCTACCGCAATCGCTTATCGGATTGGTGCTCTATTGATTCGAGGAAATGAGCGGAGGGATGGGCGCTGGAGAGGAAGAAATAGTGTTAGTGGTGTTTGGGTCCCCTCCCCAATTTTTGTTTCAAATTGTAAATAAAGCAACGAAGCCAAAGTAAATGAAGCCTTATTTATTAAAGGACACGTTCGAAGTAGACAGATTTGGTGCTAGTGTTCAAAATTCATATTAATGGGGTGAAATATGCTCATTGTGGAGGAAAGTCATAAGAACATAAGAGAAGCCAATGTTGGAGCAGGCCAATGGCCCATCCAGTCCAACACTCTGTCACACAGTGGCCAAAAATACCAGGTGCCATCAGGAGGTCCAGCAGTGGGGCCAGGACAATAGAAGCCCTCCCACTGTTGCCCCCCCAAGCACCAAGAATACAGAGCATCCCTTGCACCAGACTGAGAGTTCCTATCTGTACCTTGTGGCTAATAACCACTGATGTACCTCTGCTCCATATATCTAATTCCCTCTTGAAGCTGTTCATGCTTGTAGCCACCACCATCTCCTGTGGCATTGAATTCCATGTGTTAATCACTCTGGGTGAAGAAGTACTTTTATCTGTTCTAACCCGACTGCTCAGCAGTTTCACTGAGTGCCCACCGGTTCTCCTATTGTGAGAAAGGGAGAAAAGTATTTCTTTCTCTACCTGCTCTATCCCATGCATAATCTTGTAGACCTCAATCATGTCACCCCTCAATCATCATTTCTCCGAATTAAAAAGCCCCAAGCGCTTCAGCCTTTCTTCATAGGGAAAGTGTTCCAAACCTTTTATCATTCTAGTTGCCCTTTTCTGCACTTTTTCCAATGCTATAATATCCTTTCTGAGGTGCGGTGAGCAGAATTGCACACAGTATTCCAAGTGAGGTTGCACCATCAATTTATACAGGAGCATTACAATACTGGCTGATTTGTTTTCAATTCCCTTCCTAATAATCCCCAGCATAGTGTTGGCCTTTTTTATTGCATTTGCACACTGTCGACATTTTCAGTGCGGTATCTACTACGACTCCAAGATCTCTCTCTTGGTCAGTCTCTTTCAGTTTGGACCCCATCAATGTGTATTTATAGTTAGGATTTTTGGCCCCAATGTGCATCACTTTGCACTTGACCACACTGAACCCCATTTGCCACATTGACGCCCACTCACCCATCCTCGACAGATCCCTTTGGAGTGCCTCACAATCCTCCCTGGTTTTCACCACCCTGAACAGCTTCATGTCATCTGCAAATTTAGCCACTTCACTGCTTACTCCCAACTCCAAATCATTAATGAACAAGTTAAAAAGTATCAGACCCAATACTGATCCCTGCAGTACCCCACTGCTTACCACCCTCCACTGAGAAAATTGCCCATTTATACTCTGCTTCCTATTAATTAGCCAGTTTTTGATCCACAAGAGGACTTGTCCTCTTATCCCATGACATGGCATGGGAGAGGGGTATATCTTGAATCAGACTGGCAATCACCCAGCACACCATCTTTAAAAGCATATGGCTGGATCACAGACAAAAGCAGGACAATAACAGGCTTGCATTGACTTGTGTGTGTGTGTGGGGGGGGGATGTTGCTAACTGCCCTATACATCTGAAAAGCTGATAGTGAAGTGTGCTTTCACACAAAACCTTATACTTTGAATAGAACTTTGTTGGTCTCGGAGATGCCACTGGACTCAAAGTTTCCAGAGAACACCAAACTAAGTAGACTTTTGGTGATACTTTCTAAATAGTGTTGTTATTAATCCCTCACATTTATATAGTACCTTCCGTGTTCCAAATGCTTTTCTTGTGCTGTCTGATTCCAAATGCTTTGCTTATGCTATCCATATTACAGCCTAGTAAAACAGAATGGTATTCTTATCCTCATAAACCTCCCCCCCCCAGCTGTGAAATTAGGTACATGCTCAGGGACACTACTTTTTCCAAAAGCCTCTTTTTGTGTTCATGAAAACATCTAGGAGATTGTTATGCTAAACAAAAAAATCTCCCTTTTTTCACTGAGTGTTAAGTATGAGTACCTCTACTAGGACTAGTAGCAGCTGTGAAATGCCGTAATATCCTTATTGTAAACACACAATACTGTGGGTCACTGCAATGTGTGAATGAGCAGTATCCTAATGCCCTTGTGTTCATCAATAGTGTGGTGGCTGCATTTGGAATATTATATGCAGTTTGGGTTGCTGTGTCTCTAAAAGATAATTGTGACACTGCAAAAAGATGCAGGAAATGACAACGAAAATTATCATAGCTTGGGCCCATCTTCCCTGCAAGGAAAGGCTGGGGAAATTGGGACCTTTTAGTTTAGAAAAAAAGACAACTAAGTGTGGACGTGATAGAGTTTTATAAAGCACTTTATGCTTTGTAGACCCATTCTTAAAATTGTTGTATGAATATTTAGAAAGCAGAGCCATGGCACCAACAATACAAGAATGCAAGTTAATATGTGTGCTTCCAGTTCATGTCTGTTAATGACTGAGACTTGAAACCAACATACTTCATTGGTTTAGAATCCACAGAATTTTATTTATTCATTTATTCATTTGGCTTTTATCCCCCCCTTCCACCGAAGTGGCTCAGGGCGGCTCACAGCATTACTAAACCCAATTATATTCTTTGAATATAATTAATTCCATTTTGGGTTCTGAGCTAATAATGGATCACCCTATGGGTGGCGCTGTTGTTTAGGAATTGCAGTATTCTGAACTGAATGCTATTTTTTAAATTTAAATTTAAATGGATATCAGAAGCTTCTATTTTGTAGAATTTATGGTGTAGCATTTAGATCTATGTACCTTTTGGGTGTTAACATAAGAAGTGGCATGCTGGGTCACAACAATGGCCCATCTATCTTAGCATCCCGTCTATTGGCAGTAGCTAGACAGATGCTTCAGGCAGGTTCACCACCAGGGTATGATGGCAAGATTCATCTCGCATTGTTAATTCCCAGCATCTGGTAGATAGAGCATTCTTTCTCTGAAAATGGATGTTGGCTTAGTGGCTGATGATGATTTATCTTCCATGTAGTCATCTAACCCCGCAAACAAGTGATTTGTGCTGTTACCACAATTTCCTGTAATAATGACATTTAGTTCCTGATGGCTAAAGGGTATTGGTAAACGCATGTGGCTGGAATACCTTGCACTGTGATTTTTGCAGCACTATGCAGTCAGTGAATAGTGAGGCTTGCCAGTTTTGAGGCAGAAGTTTCCAATTAAGCTCAGGCGCTTCATTAAGTATTCTGGTGATTTACCTTGCTTTAAAAGTCAGTGGAGCAATTTCATTTTTCTATAGAATGAGGTTTTTTTTAAAGAAAAGTTAAAACTGAGATGCTGCAGTGCAGGTAGCTCGTGTCACTGTGCATATATATTTATTTATTATTATTATTATATTGTATTTATACCCCACCCTCCCCACGAACTATTTATTATAGTTTTCATTTTATCCTACCTTCCTTCCAAGAAGCTGAGGCCAGCACACATGTGTTTCTCTTCCATTCTATCATCACATCCATCTGTGAGGTAGGTTAGGCTGAGAGAGAATTACTGGAGTTATCCAGTGAGCTTTATGGCTAAGTCAGTCTACAGGGAGCCTTCTACTACACTTGCCCTCTATATGACAGCAATGTGAGTGTTGCTATTTTCTCCTCCTTTGCAAACAGTAGTTCTGAGTTTAATGTGCTGTCAA